CCTTCAAAAATGGAAAGTTGAGTGCAGAGCTGACGGCCTCGTACCAATGCGTTTTGCGATTTTTCCACTCCACCAGTCTAAAGTACTGCGCCTGCCACAAAACAAAAGGTAACGGCGCTGATAAGAGGCCGTGCAGTGGTGTAAGATCCACATTCGTAGCATCAGTGTCCAATCTCAATTTCCTGAGGGTTTTTCAACATTTGCATCATATCAATGTGTTTTCAATGAGCTTAAAACCACGTAGTGTTCACCGAAAATACTCATTCTTGAGCGTTTTACCTCAAAAAACAGCATTTTTTTATGACAACCCTTGTTTTCGAAACTTTGCTTGACATGAATTCTGATTTTTTAAGGCATTCACAGGCACAGCTCGATAGTTCACAGCTCGACGTATGTGTGGAAGTGCAAGCGTAGCATGACGTATGTGTGGAAGTGCAAGAGAACCGAGCAGTAGCGTAGCATGACGTATGTGTGGAAGTGCAAGAGAACCTAGCAGTAGCGTAGCATGACGTATGTGTGGAAGTGCAAGAGAACCTAGCAGTAGCGTAGCATGACGTATGTGTGGAAGTGCAAGAGAACCTAGCAGTAGCGTAGCATGACGTATGTGTGGAAGTGCAAGAGAACCTAGCAGTAGCGTAGCATGACGTATGTGTGGAAGTGCAAGAGAACCAAGCAGTAGCGTAGGATGACGTATGTGTGGAAGTGCAAGAGAACCTAAGCAGTAGCGTAGCATGACGTATGTGTGGAAGTGCAAGAGAACCGAGCAGTAGCGTAGCATGACGTATGTGTGGAAGTGCAAGAGAACCTAGCAGTAGCGTAGCATGACGTATGTGTAGAAGTGCAAGAGAACCTAGCAGTAGCGTAGCATGACGTATGTGTGGAAGTGCAAGAGAACCGAGTAGTAGCGTAGCATGACGCATGTTTGGAAGTGCAAGAGCACCTAGCAGTAGCGCAGCATGACGTATGTGTGGAAGTGCAAGGGAACCGAGCAGTAGCGTAGCATGACGTATGTGTGGAAGTGCAAGAGAACCTAGCAGTAGCGTAGCATGACGTATGTGTGGAAGCACAAGAGAACCGAGCAGTAGCGTAGCATGACGTATGTGTGGAAGTGCAAGAGAACCTAGCAGTAGCGTAGCATGACGCATGTGTAGAAGTGCAAGAGAACCTAGCAGTAGCGTAGCATGACGTATGTGTGGAAGTGCAAGAGAACCGAGTAGTAGCGTAGCATGACGCATGTTTGGAAGTGCAAGAGCACCTAGCAGTAGCGTAGCATGACGTATGTGTGGAAGCACAAGAGAACCGAGCAGTAGCGTAGCATGACGTATGCGTGGAAGTGCAAGAGAACCTAGCAGTCGCAATGAACGTTAACATCCCCCCATCCCCCCCCCCACCCACCCCCCAAACCGGTTGACAAAGACAATGACCAGAAGCACGCAGAAACCGAAAAAAATGAAGACAGCACACGGCCCCTTAACAGCAGCGTCGACACCCAAAACATCGATGCCAGGTCATACGAAGTGCTGCATCTGTCACGCAAAATCATCTCAGCAAACCTGAAGATCTGATGCTCCAAAAATGCAACCTATCTCAGGAAATCAGCGACCGGACCTCCTAACATCTCTGACAAGCATGTCTCTTGTACTGCGCCTGCCAGGGAAAATGCATCTTTGCAGATCCTCTTCAAATGTCCCACGCCTGCCATCGTTTTTGGAAATGCGACCAAACCCGCGTTTTGCTCACTTTTGAGAAGGTGCACAATCCCTTGCGCCTGCCACGCGAAACGACATCTGAACGTCCAAAGGTGGTCCGAACCCCTTGTGCTTTTCACATTTTGACTTCGAAATGTGCTTCGCGCCACAACGGCGTGCACTTTTTCGACATCTCAATTTCCAAAAGTGGTCCGGACCTGGTGTGCTTTGTCCATTTTGACTTCCAAATGTGCTTCGCGCCACAACGGCGTGCACTTTTTGGACATCTCAACTTCCAAAAGTGCTCCGAACCCGTCAGTTTGTTACACTTCTGACTTCGAAATGTGCTTTGCGCCACAACGGCGTGCACTTTTTCGACATCGCAACTTCCAAAAGTGGTCCGAAGCTGAGGTGTTTTGCACATTTTGACTTGCAAATGTGCTTCGCGCCACAACGGCGTGCAATTTTTCATCTCTCATCTGGCCAGCTGGCTCCGCGCTTTAGCGAGCATACTTTTCGACCCTCCAGAGCCACAAATCATTGGAAAAACACAGTGTTTCGCAACTTCCTACCTTTCGCGCGCCTGGATCTTCTTTCTTCTGGGGCTTTCTCTTTTTTGATGTTCTTTCTTCTTCTCTTCTCTTCTCTTCTCATCTCTTCTCTTCTCTTCTCTGACTCTTCCCACCTCTGCTTTCCCATCTGTCCATATGGTCAGAAGTTTGACTTCTAAACTTCCTTTGGTTATGTATATCAGTAAAACTGAAGAAAGCCAACACAGTAGTTATTCATTCCTGCCAGAGGATTTCTGGCCCCGCTACTCGCATCGGATGGTAAAGCTGGGAGCCATCGCTGGGCTACTCGTGCACTAAGCCAAGCTATGGCAGGCGAGTGACCTAGTCATATTGTGTTATATTGGTGTCTACCTTTCTATCTATCTATCCATCCATCTATCTATCTATCTATCTATATATATATATATGCATACAGACATGGAGATACAGACACAATATGTAACGATATGTAATATATACATGTGTTATATATATATTTATAACACACATATATATATATAAATATGATATATGATATATGATATATATATATAAATATGTATATACTTATGGAACAGTGGATTTTCTAGGTCCATGATTTGAGGGTTTCGATGCCACAACAATATCCTCTGCAGTTGATCCGCCGGCTTAGATCGACGCGCTTGCGCCGTTCCCAAGATTTCGTTCGACCCGGACTTGGCGCTGCGAAAACTTGGGATAGGGTGATTCAGCGCTCCTGCCTATCTCCACTTTTCGGGTTTGCCTACTGAACAATTTCAACATTTATCAATTTTTTCATGCGCGGATGGTGGAAAACCACTGGATTCTGGGATGCCCTATCGTTGGACAAATCCAGTTTGTTGGGGTAAAAGGGTCAAACATCACATTTTGGTGAGTCTCATAGTGGTTCAAACCCGCCCAGAAAAGTGCTGTTTACAGGGGAAAGATAAAGATAAAGAACCCGTGACATGACACCGGTAAATGTGCCGGTGCGCCTTCCATGCCTCCAGGAGGCGGTACGGAATCCCATGACGCGGAATCCGCAGGAGTGGGAGATGTGGTGTGCCAAGGTGCCTTGGGGAAGCCACCACCAAGGAGGTTGGATCAGTTGGATCCAGAATGAAGGCATGTGTGTATCCCCTCCTGTTCTCCAAAAATGAATGGCAATTCAAGACTGTTTCGTCTGAGTCTTGTCTTGCACTGTGGTTCCCAGAATTTGAGTTTTCAGAGCCAGCTCTTCTTTTCGCCCAGCCTGTTCCAAGGTGATCCAGCATACCTTGTCTGCTGTGGCTTACTGCCACTCCAAAGGCGACTTGGGTCATGGCTAGCAGGGATGAAATCACACAAAATGCTGAACCCCATCTACAAAGATGATGTTTTAAGATGTCTTTATGATAAACATGGGTTTGAGTTGGGTATGGCTCCCAATTTTTGGCTGAATCACGGGGCTTAATACTGAAAACGAAGAAACATATGGGCCAATGTGGGTCCATGTGTACCACGTCTCAAAGCATGACATATCCAATAACACTTGTCATGGGCTGAAATTTGAAACCATACATTCTGGTCATCGTGTCAATTGATCTTGGCCCAATTTTGAGCCGTACTGTGCTCATCTAGTGCAGATGGTTGCCGACAAACAAGACAGTCCACTAAAAACAGGAGTCCCATCGAGCAAGAGGTCCCCAAGTTGCATACGCGCACATGTCGAAGTTGCATTTTTGAGTTTTTTCCTCTTCACACCATGGAGGGCTGTTGCTCCCCGAACAGTTGGAACATTCATACCGAATGTGTGGAACTTGGCTGTATGATCCTTTTGCTTAGCATTTTGGCTCACTCCTGACTGCCAGTGGGTGCATATCAAACGAAAAAGGACACCATTTTCTGATTTCCACTTCGCAGATGTGCAACACCGACCTTTTCTTGGCTTCCCAGAGCTTGCCATGTTTCAATGCTGGCGCACTGGCCCTTTTTCCAACGGGGTTATCAAGGGTGGCAGGCCCCGACCAGTGGACCCATCTACCGGTTCAAAGGGCAATCCCGTCAAAGCTACAACCACAGTCAGGTGACAGCTGGACAACAGACAGTAAGAAATCTTGGCTCCAGAACTTAATAGAAACAGGAGATTATTGTGGGATGTTGTGGGTCGAAGGGTGAATTTCCCCAAACTGGTTTGGATATGGTTGAAGGAAATCTCCTGGGTTCATTTTTAAGTGGCCAAAATCCAGAATGTGATGCTTCGTCACGTGTTGGATCTTCACTTCTACGACCGTTGTGAGAACGGGGCGCATCTTGCGCCCTGCTTGGCACCGAAAGGCGACATCGCTGGATAGGCAGTTGGAGTTCAGATACCAGAAATGTCAAGTTGTTGGCTTCAGAGACGTGGGCACAAATGGTTTTTCTTTCTATCTTCGAGGACAATTTTTTTGGTTGCCAGCCTTTTCAATGCTTGTCATATTTGGAAACCTTTGGGGACGACCATGGTATAGCATGGTTCAGTGTTCAGCGTGGATGCATTGGAGGCAGCCCTGGAGACTGGTGAAGCCCAAAATAGCTGTGCTACAGGTTTTGAGCCATAGCCAAATAAGGGTAATTACACACAGTTTACATATTACATAGAATATATATGCATATTACTATATATATATACATATATATATATACATATATATATATATATACATATATATATATATACACACACATACAGCCAATCAACTCGTTTGTTGCCTCCATCCCCACGTAGAACAGCTGCAGGGCCATGGCGGGGGGTGCAGCAGCTGCTACCACAGGTGGGGATGAAAATCCACCCTTTCACCAAACCTGGCAGGGCAAAACCCAAAATTTTTGTTGCAAGCCATATTTATAGATAGTTTTATAGATAGTGTTAGATTTGACCATCTATTTTTATAGAGGGTTTTGTTATTTTACCATCTATTTCAAGCAACATGTTTTGTATTTTTGAGTGCCATGGATTGGCGTTCAGAGTGTATCCTATTGACAAGCCAGCCGAAGCCAGTGGGGAATCTCCGAGGAACCAAGGAACATGAAGGAGTTCTAGTCCCAGAATCTTCCGCTAAAAAACCATGAGCATGTTTTCCAGAAAGCTAATAATTAGAAACAGAAGATCATCCATAATAGAAAGTTCTCCATTCAATTGTTCATGTTTTCCAGACACTTTCCAGAAACATCCATTCAATTGCTGGCTCCTTTTGATCCATTCCGCCTGGGTGTTTCTCAAGTCATTGGCGGGCCAGCCCTTTCTTGGAATATGACGACTCGGGTTCCCATTCTTGGGAGATTACTTGTGGTCCCCCCAGGTAGGACACCACCATAAAATACCATATCATACTCATGGTCTTGATATAATTCTATTACCATCTATTACAATTTTTTACACCATATGTACCAGATCATACTAGTCACATAAGCTATGTTATATGCCTACACATTCTACCATTCTACCAGCAATAATGATAATGCTATTGATAATGCGAGTTAATACTGGTTGACTATGACTACATCCTTCCTGTTCCTTGGGATGTGGAAACACCACGTCTTTTCAGAAAAAAATCCGACCGAGGCCGGGGCTTGATGAAGCTTTTGGCCGGAGGTCGTGAGGTCAGCCCGAAAATTGCGGGGTCGGAGGTCCGATTTTTTGGGTTTCAACTGCCATCTAAAATGTACTCTCTGGTAAACATAGCAATGGAAAATCCACCAAAAATGGAGGGTTTAATGATTTAATGGGAACATGATCTATAAATCGTGGATTGTCCATTGCCATGTTTGATTACCAGAGGGTAAGCCCAAGGGGTGAAGCATCGCCATTTACACAAAAACATTTTTTTTTTTTGTGAAGCTCAGTGAAGTGCAGATGATTTTCTCATAGCCATGGGGATCATTGGGACAATCTTACACGAAAGGGCGAGGTCGTGGTTCCACGAGCAGGGGTCAGAAAGGGCAGAAAGGGTTGGTAACGCGGGATGCTTTGCTGAAACAGTGTATTCAAGACCATCTTTTGATCAATGCTTTGATGTGCGAGATGACATCCCTCCCAAAATTCTTGTCAGACCATGCATCTGTTGCGAGTCACTAGTATCTTAGTCTATCTTAGTCCTTGGGCTGTGACTACCACTTGGAAATCTGGTGGTATATCCCCCAAACATTGCCAATCCATTGGGGCCCACCACTTCAACGGGCCAAACAAACATCTGTTTGCAGTTGGAACTGGATCATTCCACCCATTTGATAGAAATGATATCGAATTTTTGCCATGGGTTTCAACCACTTAAAGATTCCTCCCTGCTGTCACCGAAGGCGTGCTTGGTGGATTTCGGTGGCTCATCTGCAGCCATGGACATCTATGTTCTCTGCCATGAGGTGCTCAGCCGGCTTGGGGGCTGGTCGAATAGGAGTCACACACAGACACACAGACGCAGACACACACACACACACTCATGCAACCACTCGAAAGAGATGGAACATTGAATCCAATTATAAAACAGTGAAGTTGAATAGATGGAACATTAAATCATATTAAATCCAATTATAACCCCAATTTCTTTTTAATTGAAGTTTTTCTATCTTTTGTGGGGTTAAATAAGATTATATAAGTGATATGCTCACAGCATGTGTGACGTCCGAGGTACGTGGGATGGACTTGAGCCCTGGCGAACAGCTTTCGGTGTCCCTGAGAGATCTCACGCGGGGGGGCCCTGGATCCGGTCGAAAATGCGGTGGAAAATGTTGAAACTCCATAGAGGTTTTACCCTCTGGCAAACATACAAAAAACTATTGAACATGGTGAAATAGTGGATTTAGCTATTATAGTTATTAATAGCATGGTGATTTTCCATAGTTTTGGGTATGTTTACTAGAGGTTTTACTGCAATTTTACTGGGACAATGTGAAATAAATGGGGAACTCAAACTAAATGGAGGTTTCGTTGGGAAAAATCATCGCGACCGAGGCGCTCGGACCCGGAGAAGGAAACGATGCCAGGAAGACCCTGGGAATTGCGGCAGCTTGGCATCCGGGATGATTAACCATCAACTATTAACCATGTTTGCATTATTAACCATTATAAACCCATGATTAACCAGTGTTTCTATTATGATTGGCTACCTTGAAATTGGCTAAGAAACCTAGGTGGATGGCGGAGCAATAGATGAATTAAAAAGGCAACATGATCAACATGATGATGCACATACCCAAGGAACCCTGCTGATCATTACGGGGAGTAGTATGTATGTAGTGGCTACGCAACCTCAACAAGGCCATGCTTTTGTAAAGGAAATGTACGGACCAAGCCAAGCTTGGCTGGCTGGATAGAGGTGGCTTTAGATATTCTTGATTTTCTATCGTGATTGTTGCGGATGACGAACCCAAGACCTGTGTAGAAGAAGCAACCACAAAGGAGCTGATGGTTTCGAATGGCAATGGGCGAAATGAGTCAATATTTTAACTCAGGGGACGAACCATTTTTTGCCGCGAACTATCCATTTTGTTTCTGTGTGAACTTTCTTTAGACCCGGATCTAAGGGTGTTCCAGCCTTACATTCCTGTGAGGAATTATTAAGACCCCTATTGATTGAGATGACTGGGATAGTGAGCTTTAGTCATAGTCCTTGGTTTGAAGGATCTGCGGCAGAAGACTATGGGACCGATGTGCCATCATCGAAAATGCCTCTGGGCACTAAGAATTGAGCTACTGTGGATAAGAGACCAACATTTTTGGAGGGATCTCTCATTGCATATGCCTTTCATACCTCTCATTTTTTTTCAGTCATACCGAGTAAACAGCCCTCTGGTCATCGAAGAAATCGCCAACATACTGTAGCTATGTTTGGTTTTTCCCAACATTTTTGATCTTTTTGATCTAGAATCCATAGGTTTTTACCATGGTAAAATCATGGTACTCTTCCTTCATGGGCGCCATTTGTCCCAAGGCAGGTGAGGTCCGAGGCGGTGCTACAGTTGAGGGCATGGGCTGGGAGCCTTGGTTTGGGGGAGTTTTTGGAACCAAAGGTCCATGGAAAAGTTGAAGACCCCCCGACATTTATATGCAAAAAATGGAGGGAAGACATAATTAGAATAATTATATGACACTCTTATGCCGTTTTTTTTCTTTTTCTTTTTTCGGATCTTTTTTTTGGTAATTATACGACATTTACTAGAGTGGGCATGTTTTTTTGGGCACACTATTTCTTTGGACAATGGAACCTTTTTGTTGGTGGAAATTCTGAGGCTACCATATGATGGATGAAACATCTTCACTGATGTAATTAGAATGATTGGCATGAAATCTTGGTGTTCGACCGTTTATCGTGATTTGTATGTTGATGGCAGATATCGATTCTTTGGAAACCCGATTTCTATTCAACTCGTTATACAATAAAGGTCTACTGCCAGTTGTTTAGCTGAGTTACTCCCGTCCATTTCGCTGCCATCCAGCAGTAACAAACCTTAGTTTGGAGCTAGATATAGTCCACTCGCACATGGCTCAACATGATTGATCCCAAATGGGTTTATAATTATCCCATACTACATAGCCACTATATAACCATATTGATACCATATTGATACCATATTGATACCATATTGATACCATATTGATACCATATTGATACCTCAAATGTGGTTCCAAGCTCAAAACTTGGCTCCACTCCGTCGCCTGGTCGCCCCTTGGACCCGTCCCGAGGCTTCGTCCTCGCCGGACTCGCGACGGCATTTGGGGGAGTTGAGGCGCCTAGGGCCAGGGATTCCATGGACAATGAAGATAAACCATGGGATGTGATATATGGGTAAACATAGAAAAAACTGTGGAGAATCCATGGTTTGTTTCCCCAGGAAACTCGTCTACAGATGGTTGATTTTCCACATCTTTTTGCATGTTTACCCGTTTACCCTATCTATCTATCTATCTATCTATCTATCTATCTATATATATATGTATCTCCCCCAAACTGGCAAGTTTGAATAAAATAAACCATAGGATTTTCGGCTAGTTTCAGACAAATGGAATAGGATGAAGATCCATTTTGGATAAACTATAATGACCTCACGTCGTGACGTCGCTGGAATGATGGTTAAGTTGCAGGGAATCATCCCCAAAGAGCTTTATTTCAGCCATTGTCAGGTTAGCGAATTATTCGAAGTCAGCCAGAATCCATGAGCCATCAGCTATTGGGTGAAGAGAGCAGGCATGTACAGTGAGGTTGTCACCTCTAATCAATAAGCATGAGCGTGATTAACCGGCACAAAATTGCATTTCGGCAACAACAATTGGATTTGCGCTCAAATTCTGTAAAATTGGGTATCAACCGACCCACAAACAGGATCAAGTTTATGGCCGTTTGGAATGGTAACGCAGGTATTTCTGAGTGGCACTGAACTCACCTTGTTCAGTCCAACATGGAGAAGTTTTCCAGGTCGGTTTGACGGAGGTAATCAAGTAATTACTGATGGAGATCTCATGAACAATACACAAATTGGAGCTGAGCCATACAGCGACCGGCTGTACCCTACACACCAAACCAAAGTTGGGATCTGCAATCTCTGCATCTGCTTTTTATCCTGGGGGTACCAACTGGTTCAGCCATTCGCCAACTGGCTGGTGAATCTGTCCTGGTTTGATGGTTCTATCCCCAGTCCCCAGTCAAGCTTTGGTTGGTGAAAGATTTCCCGGGTGTCAGCCCTCAACACACCCCATGGTTTCTCTTGCTTTTGGAGGCTTCCTATAGCGCAGCTCAGAGCCCTCGGTCTCAATATGCTGTACCAGTTGGCGCCTCAGATCAGGTCACCATTTTCCCAGTCGAATTGTTGGCCTTTTTGGAGGGTGTATATGGGTATAGCAATTATATAAGGGCATATATATATATATATGTATAGATATATAATATTATATACACATAACGGTACATATACATACATATATATATATAGATACATATATATATATACACACATATATATATATATACATATATATATATATATCCATATATATATATATATATATATGAGCCCGGTCCCCGGACCCCCACACCCCCCCCCCCTCCCCCCCCAATGGTATCCCCCCCCACTCCTAACCCCCCCCACCCCCCCAAAACCTAGTATTTGCATGTTATTTGCACATATACATACACATATACACATATATACTCCCCTTTCCACCCCTCCAACCTCGCATCTCTACGTTATTTGCAGCACTTGAGAGCCACGACCTCGTCAACGGACCTTGTCTACCTGTATATTTCTATCATAAACTTTTTTTCGAACCGCCTATAGCGTGCCTCGCACATGGTTTACAACATATTTGCTACCTATGGATTACAAAAGCTTACCTATGCACACCTAGACATATGTACAGTAGAAAAACAATAAATACATATATATATATATGCACATTCTAGATACTACAGATTGATATCTTGATCTTGTATCTATCACATATTTCTTTTACATTGTACATACTGTACACGTATATATATATGTATATATATATATATATGCATATATATATACATATATATATACATAAACTCTAGATATACAGCGTGTATTGCTGTCGATATTCAATATACCACATATACTATGTAAAATTTATTCAACGAACATATTTACCTATATTGTATATATTACATCTACTGTGGATACAGTACATGTGGCATATACTATCTATATTCTATCAAAAACCACATATACGATGTATATATATATATGTTCAATATATATATATATATATCTGTCAAATATATATCTATATATAATATATATATATATAGATTGCATATATTCTATTTATATCTTACATATTATATATATGTTTATATATATATATACACACTACACATACACTCTATATTACATATAGTATATCCATTCTAATTATCGATACATATGCATTATATGCACTATAAAGACTACATACACCATGGCTTGGCTGCTGAGAAAACCCCCCCTCCCCTGCCACAGGGGGGGAACCATCTGGCTGGGTGGGGGGGGGGTGTGGGGGTCCCTGCTCATATATATATATATATATATATATACAGACCCTATTTTCAGAGACATGAATCTCACCTGTTGCTTCAGTCCGTGCCATTTTACATCTCAGTTTTTTTGGGAGCTATCTCCTCCAGTTTCTGACTGGGCTCAAGGACCTGGATCACCTTGGATCCGGACCCGGAGATGCCAGGTGGGCTCAACGGGAAACCGGGGGGTTCCATTCATCGGAGCAGCAGCAAAATCAGTTTTTTTTTTCCTGTTTTCCTGTGAATTTCTCCAGCATCGCTTTTTTGGAATATTTTTGGGTTCCATTTTCGAAGGAAACGCCATAGCAAAAACCCAGAGAAAGCTTTGCTGAAGTCCAAGCATTTGGTTCAGGTTCACAAGGCTTGGGCCTTAGCGACCTCGAGCAGAAGATGAATGATGGGTTTGGGGCTCGGTTCGTCAGTGGGTCAGTAATCCCCAAAAAGATAGGAAGGTAATTTACTATCGAGATTTTACGGTAACCATTGGGATTACTGGGATTTTATACTTTCTTTTTTGTTTGTACATGTTTGTACATGTTTGTACCAACTAGAAAGATTTTACTGGGAGTTTTCTTTCTTTTCTATCCTTTTTTTGGCTACAAACTGATGCTTCACCTTTGCAAATTATTTTTTTGCTTAGAACCTTGCAACTGTGATTTTCCCTTGAACTTTGGGATTTCAGTCGAAACGTCTCAGGAGTCGGCAACTGTTCCAGCCGAAGGTTTGCCTTTCGCTCTGCAAAGCAGCCAGGGATCCCAGGGGGGGTTGGATTTTGGATCTTGGGTGTGGGATACATTTTGTGCCTGTGATTGTCTGTGAAAATCGATTGTCATCCCTTGGACTATACCCACCATGAGCTTCTTGTGTTGTGACTAGTTGTGATCGACAAGAGGATGGCCCCCCAAGGCTCCAGGTCCCGTGGAATAAACGACTAGCTGTGCTGGCAAAAAATGACTGGCACGCTCTCTGTGGGACTTTGGAGCCCGTCTTTGCCCTTTATTCATCAGATTTTTTGGGGAAAAAGAGAAGAGTTTTATCACCCACATCAACCAAGAAACTGATCAGAAGTATGTAAATGTTTCCGTTGTATGGGGTACCCCAAATCTATTGTAAGAGGATTTTCCATTCTAACCACTCCAACTATGGGGTGCCCCTCCGAGGAGGACGTGACTGATGGCAAGATGACCTTGGGCTTTGACATCTCCAACGACCTCAAAGATGAGCGCTGGAGTGCCCATCCTCAGCGCTTTACGGCCGTGGCCAGATGCTGCGGCCGTTTGAAAATGGTGATTTAGATACCTCAATATGTTTGGATGCCCAGGAATCCATGATCATAAACTCATAAACCATATGTATATATATATGTATAGACACACACACACGCACCATGTTTTGACCCTAGCGGCACTAGCACTTATGCAAGTCAGAGGTTCTTGAACAACAAGAGATGGAGGGTGTGTCTTGCAAATAATCCAGGCCAGAAGGGTGGCCGTGTTGCGAAGCCATCCATGTCATGGTAATACGGCATCCAGAAACAGTTCCCCAGCAAAGGAGGGGGGCAGTTATCAGTGGAGTGTTCACATGATCAACGGATACCATCAACGGATATCTACATTTTTATATGAATGAATACAATTGAATACACGCATGCAATAGTATATACGCGCAATGCCGGACTTTGTCCGGGCATCTTTATGAAGAGTCCTTTGCAGGATCAACCTTGTACAGATACGTTGCACACATATTCGTTGTAAGCAATGATTTTGGGTCTATGATTTTTATTCCCCAGATAGCGAAGCTATTGGGGTTCTTACTTCCAGTATAGGATGAGTTGAAAATGTGTGTTTTGGAGCGGGCATGTTGGTGCTGCTACAGAGTGCTGCTGCAGGGTGCTGCTTGAGGGTGCTGCTTGAGGGTGCTGCTGTTAGAGTGGCGTTTGAGTTTTCGAGCTGGCCTGCTGGTGCCGCTGCAGGGTGCTGCTGCGGTGTGCTGCTTGCAAGAAACATACACACACACATATATATATATATACATATTTATGTTGAGAGTGTATTTATTTAAATTTAAATGCATGTAACTCATATATATATATATGATTATGTTGAGTATGTTTTTATCATTGTACACATTTTAAATACTTCATAAACAGATATAAAAAGAATGTATAGAGTTTTTTTGTAAATAATATATATATATACACATGTATATACACATGTATTTCAACTACATACATGTATCTAGCGTGTATATGTAAACAATAAATAAAAGACTCTACATGTACATGAACATGTATTTATGTTTTGATATTCCAATCAACATATACACTTGTATATGTACATATTCAGATATACACAATATGACCGTGCCTATCGAGCTTTCTTCCAGAAAATTGCGGACATGTTACGGAGGGCTCCCCGCTTCGACCGCGCCGCAGGTGCTCTGTTGAGATCGCAAATGCAACATGTGACGATGAGTCACGGTCTACATCTGCAAGGGCTCAAGGCGGGGAGTGTGACATATACATCATGTGCATGTACATATGCATACGCATTTCTATGTCTACAGATACATGTCACACGCATGCATGTTTTTCTTCCCCCTCTCTCTCTCTCTCCTTTTCTCTTTATGTTATGTATACATAGATTTAGCCGGACTATGACGTGGGTTGGTCCAAAAATGTGGATTCAATCACAAAATATGCCAAATTTCAGGCGGAAGAGGATTCACGACAAACTGTTGGGTGCCTTATCAAACAAAGCCACCGTTTGTGGATGTAGCTCGTGAGAAATTATGAAGTTGGATTTTGGCCCTTTTTGGGTGGACATTTAGCCTCAAAAAGGATCCAACTAATGAAACAGATTGTTCCGGCATCTGTGTTGTGGAGCCTTGAAGACAAGGTTACATGCAATTTTTTTGGAACCTGTGAAACAAAGGTAGTGTACAATCTGTCTCCCTCTCTCTCTCTCTATCTATGTATATATATATACATCTATATTCATACACATGTATCAATATATACTGTATTATATAATTGTCAAAATGGTGATTGGCGATGAACATGAACAGCACTTGAGTCTCATGTCACATCACCGTTGCCGCAGCTCGTGAGTCTCAGAAACTGCACGCAATCGTGGAGTCACGGAACGCCTGCCATGGCGGATGCTCCAACTTCCCAGCCCAGCTCAAAGACTTCAGGGGGGTAGGGATGGATCAAACACCATACATACCATATTTCAGGGATAAAGATCCATATCCATATCCATAAATCTGGGATAAACATCTACACATCGATAAATCCCAAGCATTTTTGGGGGTGAACGTTTGGGTAACCAGGCCCAGTCCGACGGAGGACAGTCAGTTTTGTTGCTTACATCGCCATCAAACCATCATTCAATTCAACCACTGTTTCATTGTACCCAGCATAAGTTGTGGCAGTTATGTACCGCCTGGAGTAAGACAGTTCAAGGTTCACACCTTTCGCAGGGAATCTTTTCAGGGTCAGGAAGTGGCAATCTGTATCCGATCCAAGCAGAATCTGTCATCTAATTCTAAATATTAATTAAATCGGTTATGGGTAAACATATGTCTGAACAAGTGAGGAGGATTGAAATGGGAACGTTCTCCGAAGTCTCTGAAGAACTTGGTGACCTTATGTGACCTGGGTCTTGCCGGGCCTTCCATGGTTCCCCCGTGCCATTTGTGGCGCCATCAAGCCATACCAAAGCCCACCTTGGTTCACCAGGACCCTGGGCACAGAAACGAGTCGCAAGGTGAAAATCTTCGAGAAAGGCACCTGGGCGACTTCATCACTATTTTGGATATTTTGGTGAGTTCTCTCATCATTTTTCCCATGATGAGACCATTTTTTTTTTGGATAGCGATAGCGACGTGGATTTCGTTGAGCGGTGAGAAGTCTAGGTTTTAAACCCCTAGCTCCCACACACACACACATCATATATATATATATACATATATACACACACACTATATATATATATATATCTAAGCTTTATTTATATATATATGTAAATATTATATATACATATATAAACATAATGTATAGATACTACATAGGCACTTCTGGGTTTTCAGAATCAGTTTGTGCGTGGCGAGGCTCTGCTCGGAATGTGATGCCAGCCACAGAGGGATGGTTTGGCTTGGGATATTTGGCTGCAGGGCATGGGAAGATCTGAAGCTTTGACCCGATATTTCGGGGTCAAAAAACATGGTAAAAACCATGGGAAAAGCTTCAATTTACCAAACTGACTATTCGTTTTTTTTGATTTTCCCTGCAATCTATTGAGTGTGGAGCGAATCGTGGCCCTTCAACAGTTGGTGGAGACATAACATATTGTACTGGATGGATCTGGTGGTTTTCCATCGCGATGTTGGATTACCAGAGGGATCAAAGAGGGTAGTTACCCCCAACTCCCAATTGATGGCAAGTTGGATGGTTGGTTGTGCAATCATCGAAGTATACTATTTCCGTGCATTTTGTTTCCAGATTTGGAGGACAGACATGCATTTTCTTCGTATATACATCGATGACCAAACTAGGTCCGCTTCTGAGGTGGCAAAGCCCTTTGCACCGGTACCCCGAAAGACTTTCATGGTCTACAACCCCCCGAATTTCATAAGATTGGCATGGAACCTGAAAAGTGGAGTCTGAAAGGGGATTTTCCTACCAAAAAGGGTTCCATTTAACATTTATGTTTTACGTTTTCCTATAATAACATTTTAAAAACCAGTGAAACTGTGGTTTCGAGTTTTTTTCCCCTTCCGCAACTGAGGTGGCAGATTTCTGCCGAAGGACTTGACTACCTTGGAAGGCCTCAATGCCACCTATGCCACCAAGGACTGGGGTTGGGGTTCGGGGTTCCAACAGGGCAGTTGGTGGTTGGTTGGTGGTGGCTGGGTGGCTGGGTGGGGATCATCCCCTGCAGGAAATTCTGCTGGGCATTACCATTGGCTTTGCTCAGGTGTGGAGGGTGGTAGGGGTACTGGATCCGTCAGCCAGAGCCTAACATTTATAGTGGTCAGATGATTTTTTTTTCAAAAGTATCAAGGTGTAAAACAGTAAAACATATGCATGAGATACATCATCCAACCATCAAGGATCTATGCGCCTAGCTTGTATGGCCTAGGTCCTCTTGTGCAGGGGAAGATGCAACCTCCCCCAGGTATTTCACACTACTTGCAGGCTCTATAGGTTGGGATTTCCCCTTCAGCATAACTTCTAGCTCATCTTCCCCAAATCAAGTTTATTATAAGTCCCAACCAACATGGCTTTGTCTGAAAATCGTTTACGCATGTGCCATGTGTACTCTCAAATTTCTGTGGTTTATTTATTAATCATCAACTAATGATCATTCATCAACTAATAGTCATATTTTTTCCCCATCTAGCGCCATCGGGAAATTTGGCCCCTTGCGAGGTGCCCGAGTCCGTGGCCTTCGCCTTCTTGGCGCACGTGCGGCCTCACGTGGCGCTGCATGCTGCATGGGTCATGGGTGCCTTGGAGGAAAGCGATGGAAAGCGCGTTGCGAACAGGGGGGGCCCTGGTTGGGGGGGTGAAGTTTATGGATGGGATGTATTTTTTTTCAGGTAGATTGGATGGAGGAAATATGTGGAAATTGGTGAAACCAGATGTTTCAAGATGTTTGAATGGTTGTCTTGTTGCTCATTCAATCGGACTGCTCATCAAACATGGCAAGCTGGAAGGTCTAGATTTTTGAGTGGAAGAATCACCCAATTATAATTATAGTTATAGATAAATTATAGATATATGCACAGAAGATGGGACAACTTTAGCCCCGTGATGTTTGATGTAGGATTGCCAATCAGAGAAGACATTGGGATACCACTGAAGTCGCTGGGTTGAGTCTATATATTGAGGGATGTTGTACTCTAGATGGATGGTTGAAGTTGGCTGAACACACTGTGAGACATTGGACCTCGTCATTCCAAACGGGACGATGACCATCCACGATATGAAAAAACAACAGACAACGCATAGCCAGGTTTGATTTTTTGTCCATATAGATGGAGAATCGAGGAAGATTTAGAGGCAGTCGTGAAAGAGAACAGAGGAATAGAGATGGATATTTCAATACCAAACACAATGTCTGAAGTGGATGCAAAAAAACGATCCGAAATCAGCCCTTAATAACCTGTGAGTCTTGGACCGGACCCGGCCTCCATTTTTGATGGGGATTTTCCCAACCTGTCTCCGCTGAGGGCTCTTTTGCAGCTTGCTGGGTGGCAGGCGCGGTGTCAGCCACGTAGACACACACACAGAGATATGTATATTTATGTAAAAATAGGTATCTATATCTATATCAATATCAATATCAATATCTATATCTATATCTATCTCTCTCTCTCTCTATATATATATACACATATCTCTATGATATTCAATCTCTATATTATACTGGGGGTTTGCAGAAATGGTGGTACCCCAATAGCCGGATGATTTGGGAAGCCTCCATGGTCCATGGCTGCCCCTACGAGGCCCGGCATGGTGAACGGCGCCACAGGCGCCTTCGCCGCCATCATCGCCACCTTTCTGCCGGTGCCCAGCGTGCCAGGCGGGCATCAAACATAGAAAATGACATGTAGAAATAGTGAACTCTGAACCATATATACGTATATGTATATATATATATAGATGTATGTAATGTGATGTGATGTGATGTGATGTAACGTACTGTAATGCAATGTGTGTATATATATATATATAAATTTGTTTCTTTGCTTGGAACTTGTGGAGAGCAAGCAATGTGTTGACGATATAGTTGCCAAAATGGCTATGCCATTTTGGCTCAAGCTGTTCCCCCTGCGATCCAATACTTTCGAAAAACACGTTCCGATCCTTTTCTTTGGCCATGGCGGCTTCTAGTCCAGTGGCTAGTGAGACTGGCACCGTGGGCTCTTTCTCGCTGATTGGGACAGATTTGGACGCAGGGGACGATTACATGGTGCTTTCCACCCAGGTGACCGAGGCTGCGCCGGCCGAGGTTATTACAGAGATTGAAGATGATCCCGCCATCACCAGGGAGACTCTGGCTTCGCAGCTCCATGAGATGGAGAAAGTGATGGCAAACTTGGGCTTGGAACCCAAGCCGGAGACAAGTGTGGAAGCGTCAAGTGGGCAACCTCCGTCGGGTTTCGTCCATGCAGAGGCACAGATTCCGACCCAGACATCACGGGTCTTAGAGAAGGAGACGTTGACACTCCACATGGATCCGACCACAGAGACCTTCACCATCGAAGGCTGGGCACCTTTGATTCCAGCCCTGCCTCACTCGGCTGCCAAGTACTTCAGAGACATTACGCATGGTGAGTTGCGTTCCCTTTTGGATGCTTTCCGCAGTTCTCCGTGGACGGCATCCTTGGTGGTCAAGATCGCAGAGGTGTACCACATTTCGAAGCGCGAGGCTGTCCACACACAGATGTTGAAACTCCGGCACACCACGCAGCGTGGGGGATCCATGATGAATTTGAAAGAGAAGGACCCTGGAACTTCTCCGCAATTAGTTTGTTCTGATTGCAATGCACCGTGGGGACAGTTATCCAAATGTTTGCTTTGTCAAGGCTCTCAGCCTGTTGACCTGTCAATGACACCTTTGTCAGTGATTGAGGTGGCCGGCCAGTCCTGGCAACTTAGGCTCACTGAGGCGGGACCGACTTGGGTTCCCACAGATACTAAGGTTACTAAGGCCTCAGGCTTTGTGGAAGTGGGAGATCTTGGCCGACCTCCCCCTGCGGCAGCTTCGGGCGCCGGTACGGGGCTGGTCAGCTTTTCGGAGCAAGTTCCTGCCTCCCAGCGCATGACACTGCAGCAGCACGTGGTGGCCTTCGGGCAGGACGAGATCTTTCATCCAGATGGCGAACGCCCCCCCACTATGGATGATCGAGACTCTACTCAAACTGCTGTGATCTTTCATCCGAAGACCATTGAACTGATGCGCTTCAAGGTGGACTTGCTGGCCACACCAGAAGAAGAGCTTACGGAAGCGGCACAGGAGGCCAAGAGGAGGAAGAAGGAGATTCAACACCAGCAAGAGACTGTGGCGATGGAAGATGAGCTGCATACACTGACTGCCATCCAGCAGGGTGCACAGGAAACCCAGAATCCGGTCAGTGCCAAGATGCTCCGCCACGCTGACCTCCAGCAGTTTCGGTCCTACCTCAAAAGAAAACATGAAGAAAGTGGTCTCACCTCCTCTTACGAGGCTTTGGTGGCGGCACAGACCACACAGGAGAAAGCGGCGGCCGCCAACAAGGCCCTGGACACAGAGTTCAGAGACCGACGCAAGGCCCTCAAGCCCATTGAAGTGGCGTCCTTTTCACTGTGGACCCCGGCCCTGCAAGAGGCATGGCAGAACAACCTCTTCGCGCCGGCCATGGGACCTCAGGGCCCTGAACAATTTGACATGGAGGCACTGAAGCAGCCCTACCTCCGAATGAAAGAGCTCATCAAGGATAACAAGCCTCTGCTGTCCCAAGACCGCCTCATGACGGAGTTCCCCAAAACGCAACTCGACATGTACACCACGGGGACGGAGATGATATCTTCCCAAGAGGCCCAGTTAGCACGACTCCTCCCGCCGGACAGCCTGGAACGCAAGTACGCAATCCTTGACTCCATCTTGCAGTACCACAAAGGTGAAGTCAGAGCCTGGGGCGGAGAGTGGGAACTGCGACAGGGCCCGCTCATGGCACCTGCCTGGGCGAAACCGGCACCTACGGCTGAGGTCTTGGCTTTGGAACTCAGGACAAACCCGCTGGGCACCTCCTTCTACACGCCCAAAACCTACACAGAACAGGTGGTCCTGCAACAGATTGCCGAGGGCAAGCGACCAGACCTGGACAAGATCATAGGCTTCTTCTGGGCCCCGGGGACGGCGGTAGCTTCTGGCACCGACGATACCCACCTGGTTCGGAGGGTGCAATCATGGGACCTTCCCTCCATGATCACGATGCTTGGACAGTCCTGGACGTTCAAGGAGATCTACCAGGCTTGGTGTGGCATGCCGCTGATCGTCAAACCGATGCGCAGAGGGCATGGGGAAGGCATCCGCCAGAAGAAGGTGGCAGAGTTGGCGGCACACCGGCAGAGGACTTCAGAGATCAAGTCCTTCCTCACCAGTGTGGGCCTCCGGTTTCCCCAATCACAACATGAAATCAAGCTGCTCTACAAGGAAATTGGCAGCTTTTTGGCTGCCTCGGTTTTCTTAGCCAGAACCCCAGCGGTGGTCTTGGACTTGCCCGAGCAGGACATCCAGGACACAAAGGAGCAGCTCCGTTTTCGAGCGGTTTGTGATGAGCGCATCACCTTGCCCTTGGATGCTTTCAGGCAGCTCCCGGACGTTTTCCAGGCGCTGTCAGCCACTCTGGGGGCCCACAGCATGGTGCAAGTGCAAGTTGCCTGGCGGTGCAACTGTGAGCTATGGTGGGTTGCCCTGGTTCCCCATGAGAAGGCGGAGAGCTTTTATTGCCGTCTGGGCTACTCCCAGGCAGAGATTGATGGCTTCCTGAAGACTGCGCTGGAACCGGAGGCTCTGCAGGCGACTACGGTAGCTTCGGGCACCGGTAAGTACCCAGAGCTCTCCTTGGAGAACGTGGTGTCCATATGCAGCCCCAAGTACAAGCGGGAGCACTACGGCCACCGGGGAGTCCATGCTTTTTGGGGCCGCACTGATTGCGGGCTCATCCTCAGCAGCATCAGTCCATGGGAACTGAAGACGAAGGAGGCTGGAGTGACTCGTGGAGGATGGGTCTGCAAGGCCTGCCAGGGCTTTTGGAGACAAGGGAAAGGAGCTTCCCGCTTTGTCCAATTGCTTGGAGAGCACCGGGGAGTCAAAGTCAACCTCCAACTGATCTTGGACGAGCCACCCCAACAGCTGTACAACAGCTGGGTGAAGTCCAGGCTTGAGTATTACAAGAGAGTGGAGCCGACTGCGGCCCCGCGAGATGTGGCATTGCAAGTGGACCCTGACCACACCCAACGCTTGAAGTTTTCTTGCCAGAATGGCAATGCCAATGTTTCCAACGCCATTTGGTCGGTCCTTCTGAGCAACCCTGACCTCGAGGGCCTTCAGAAGATCAACGCGCTGGCAGCGAGCAGAGTCCGGCCTGCCTGAGAGCGGAGTTTTTGCGAAGGGCTGTTTTACTGACCTGGTGGCCTGGTAGCGTCTTGCACCAACGTCACCACTCGGTTCTGCAGACACCTTCCTTTTTGTATGAATAGCATTGGTTGCGCACCACGACAAGGGCCAAGACAGGGGCCAGACCGCTGGGATGCCAGCTCACACAGTGAAAAGGGAAACCTGCATGTGGCTGCCTCAGAATCATTTACAGCGTGTGGCTATTTGAACATTGCTGCGTTTTACCATGTTTTACCTTGGTTTGATGTTATTGGTATCCTTTCGGGCTTCGCCCATTACGCTGATGTGACAGATGTCCATGTGACTTGCACTCAGTCTGTCCGGTTGCAACTCTGATGGTTTTTCCTGGGCTTTCGGTGTTGTTCTTCCTGCTTGCCTTTTTCACGTGTTAGTGCTCCGCACACCCGCAGTACCCTTTTTGGGCCAGGCTTGGCCATGGTAGAGTCGGGACATCATGGAACCCGATCTTGTGCGTAGAACACCTTTTGGCCTGGCAATGGTTCGGCTCCCTGAACACATGCGAGACAGCCTGCTGGACCATGGCATTTTCCCCACACAAACGGAGGGGGAGTTGTTCATGCAGCTCTGCATGCAACAAGTGCCACCGGACCATCCGGAGGCCATGGATGGGGGAACCTGGACCTCTCGGGTACACCCCAGCAATGACATCGACCCAATGAACGTGGCTCACAGTAACTCCATGATGGTGGCTACCACGCCCTGGATGGAAGACTTTGTGGCAGACTGCATGAACCGGGTGCCACAACCAGCGCCCCCAGAAGAGAGAGATAGGACCTATGATGCATGTTTTAGCCTCTTCACTTTGATTGCGGGCGCACCAGATTCAGCCTTCCACACACCCCTTCAACAGCAACAGGAAAGCATGGACCGGGCTAGATGGCGAGCCTTTCATGCACGGCCTCCCATAATGGCCATTGTGGAGGCCAAATGGAGGCACTGGAAGCCTGGGCGACTCAAGGAAGAGTCGGCTACAACCCAAAGGAAGTTAGAACTCCACCTCAGAGACCGCTGGGCAGAAAGGATCATTGGGCTCCTTCTGCCATTTGCCAAAGACATCCCTTACCTGCATGCGGTCCACGGGGACAATGTTCACCAGGAGTACTTGGACCTCCTTGGAGATACCAGGTTCAGGACCTTGCGTATTCATTGCCTTTGCTTCGAGAGCATCCAGAAATTGGGCTTCAACACAATTCCTTGGAAAGAAAGTGATATTAGATCTCTTCTGAACACCCTGAGGGACCAGGAGATCACACCACACAAACTCCAAGGGATATGGAATACCCTAAGATGGTTCTCGGCCAGGTTTGGCCTCCTTGACCCTGACAGTCTCGAACGTCTCAAGGCAAAAAGGAAGACCATCCAAGAAGGCCTGGTGGAGACCAACATCAAGCCTCAGC